TTTGATTAGAGAATTTAGTTATTTACCTTTAAATTATTGATAAGTAAAAGCTTACTAATGCTGTCTTAATAGTCTCTAGCTGTTATGTGGTTCCCTGTTTCTTTGTCATCTTTCTTACGGGTGATGATTTTCCATAGTGGTGTGCTTTAATTCCTTTCATTTTAACTTCTGTGAATCTACTATAGGCTTTTGCTATATACTTATATAGCAAAATATATACTTAATATAATATATATTATGCATACAGCAAAAATTTTCATATATATATGTCTATTTTGTATTGATAACAACTTAACTTTGGTCACATACCAAACTCTATGCTTTTATTCCATATATAATTTATGTATTTGATGTCATAATTTACTTCTTTTTATATTGACTCTTTGCTTTCCTAATCAGTCCTAACATCATAAAGGAACACTTTCAAAACTGTGTCTACAATTCTGACTTCAATTTACCATTTCAAAGATAGAATGGCCTTAAATTATCTAGAAATGAGCCAGAAACAAAGTGTGTTTTAGCAACAATGAACTAAGCTGAATTCCAATTTCTAAACTTTTTATTTGGTTCCAATATTTATACTTTCAAAGATAAGAAGTCAAATAAAGTCATAACTTAAGATGAACTGTCAAAAATAATATTTTTAAATTCTTGTAACTATGATATGTAGTACTATACCTATTCTCTTTTGTGAGTCTGAGAATTATTACTACCCACATTTCATTATTAGACTTTGGTAAAATCAGAAGACTATGTGAACTTTTACAAACAAGTGCAAATTTATGTACTAATGAGAAGTAACCCCAGGAGTCTGCAAAAAAGACAATATTATAAATTATAAAGAGTAGTACTTAGTAAACCAGCCCTAATAAAATATATCTAGAGTATGTGTTTTGTTCATTGATCTTATTCTTCCCACTGTTATTTCTTCTATCCCTTCACCAGTTTTTTGTTGTTTCTTCCAAATGCCTGAATTTTTAAAAATTTAATTATAAGAGAATGGGTAAAAATGTAGGAAAGAAATTTTCTAAAGATTTAAATTTCTAAAGATTTTTAAATCTTCTTTTGAGATGTTTAGCATATTAATAATAAGTGCACAGTTTAGTGAGTTTGTACATGTTTGTGAGGTTCATGCCTATGTAAGCTCCATGTAGTCAAGATAAAAACTACTTCTAGAATTCTAAAAGGACTGGAATGTTCCCTCTCTGTCAATATCTACCTTCCTATCTACCATCAGTTCTTCCTGGAATTGATATTTTTAATAAAGCAGTAATGCATTCTTTTATTCAATAAATAAATGTATATGTTATAGCATATATAACTAATTTGTTATTTTAATTTCTCTGTATTTTTGTATAACTGTACTACAATTTGTTTATCCATTCTTCTTCTGATAAACACAATGAACATAAGTTGTTGTACCATCTATACATTTAATAGTAGAATGAAAAAGTTCTAGTTACTCCATACCCTTACCCATACTTGTTAATATCAATACTTTTAATTTAAGCCAAGCTAGTGAATGTGTGATATTATCTTACTGTGGTTTTAATTGGCATTTGCTGGACAGCTAGTCACATTGAATACCTTTTCGTATGTTGGCTTGACATTTGGAATTCCTCATTTGTGAAGTAAATATTAAAATATGTTGCCTAGTATTATTATTGATGTGTTATTTATTTTTTATTTCTTCCTGTATATTTGTAAGAATTTTATATATTCTACATATGAGTCCTTGCCAGATAGATGATAGACGATAGATAGATAGATAATCTTCTCTCAGTTTGTTTTACCCTTTCTATCACATAATTCTGTCTTCTGACAGTTTTTATTTTAAATTAATCTGATCATTTTTTCTTATACAGTTTATTAATTTTCTGTAAAATTTAAGAAAGCTTTGCTTAATTGATATTATTAACATATTTGCTTTCCAAGTTTTCTTCTAGAGGTTTTATTATTTTGCAATCACACTTCTGTCTATGCTCCACTTCAAATTAGTTTTGTATGTATTTTGTGAGTTAGGGGGTGAAGTTTCAGTTTTGTTTTGTTTTGTTTTGTTTTCCACATGAATAGAAAGTTGCTATATAGCTAAGGCATTGGCAAACTATGGCTCATGAACAAATCTGGTTAGTAATGTTTGGTACAAATCATGAGTTAAGTGTTTTTTGGTTTTATCTTGTTTTGATTTTTTTCCTTAAAGAGTTGTGAAAACAACTAAAACAGAGTATGTAACAGACTTTTTGTGATCTCCAAAATGTAAAATATTTGCTACCTGGCCATTTACAAGAAAAATAAAAACAAAACAAACAAAAAACCCCCTGCTAACCTTGGTCTAAAACTGTTTATTATAAAGGTTCTCCTTTCTCAGTTGAAATTCAGAGGTTTCTTTGTTGTAAAACAAGTGAACATATCCTGTCTTTATATCCAGATTATTTGTGATATCAGTCTATTACTCTATTCTTTTGTTAATAAAATGATTTTTTTCCAGTTGTATTGATATATAGCTGACATCCATCAGTGTATAAATTTAAGATATACAGTATAATGGTTTGACTTACACAGATTGTGAAATGATTACCACAATAAGTTTAGTTAGCATCTATCACCTTATATAGGTGAAATAAAGAGAAAAAGAAAAAAAAGACCAAAAAGTTCCTGATAAGAATGTTTAAAATTTACTTTTTTGACAACATTCATACATATCATACAGCACTGTTGCCTACAGTGTATGTTATATATACTGTAAATTATATCTTTAGTCCTTATTTGTCTTATCACTGAAGTTTGTACCTTTGCCACTTCTCTCCTACTCTCATCGCCCTCAAACCCTTCCTCTATTAATCACAAATCTGATCTCTTTTTCTATGAATTTGGGGGTTTGTTTGTTTCGGTTACTACACATAAGTGAGATCCTATAGTATTTGTTTTTCTTTGTCTGACTTTATTTCACTTAGCATAACGCCCTCAAGGTCCATCCATGTTGTTGGAAATGGCAAGATTTCCTCCTTTTTTCTGGCTGAATAATATCCCATTACACATATATATCACTATTTTTTTTTATCCATTGATTGGTTTATGGACACTTAGTTCCATATCTTAACTATTATAAATAATGCTGCTATGAAAATGAGGGTGCTGATATCTTTTCAAGTTAGTGTTTTCATTTCCTTTGGATATATTCCCAGAAATGGAATTTCTGGATCACATGGTAGTTCTGTTTTTAATGTTTTGAGGATCCTTCATAATGTCCTCTATAGTGGCTGTACCACTTTATAATTCTGCCAACAATGAACAAGGGTTTCCTTTCCTCCATATCCTTCCCAGCATTTATTATCTTTTGTTTTTTTGATGATGACCATTCTAACAAACGTGAAGTGGTATCTCCTTGTGGCCTTGACTTAAATTTCCCTAATGACTAGTGCTATTGAACATTTTTTCATGTACCTGTTGGCCATTTTTAAAGTCTTCCTTGAAGAAAAGTCTGTTCAGATTCTTTGCTCATTCTTTAATCTCATTATTTGTTTTCTTGCTACTGAGCTATAGGAGTTCCTTAAACATTTTGGATATTAAACCTTTATCAGAAAGTTTTCTCAAGATTCAGGTTTCTCATTTCTTTAAAAATATGAGCTTGGAAAATTAATTCTGATGTTATTTTCAACTTTTTTAGTGGAATATATGACTTATGGTTATGTATTACATTTTACTTAGTAATGGAAGTCATCCATTTTTTATTATAATTTACTATATTGTAGGCCTACTTGTAAATAATTTAAAACATTCATATATAATTGTGGCCAAATAAATCTTCTCTGAACTTCTCAGTGCCCTTGCAAAAAATTCTAATCCCCTGACACACAAAAAGTGTATATGCTATAGAGATAGAGAATATTTGCTTTCACTTCTGCCAAAAATATTTTATCTTCACATTCAATGAGAATTAGATGTATAGCCATTTGTCTAGTTAACTGATTTGATCCAAAAGGATAATAAAACTTCTCTTATCTCCCCAAGAGGGCCAAAGAATCAGAGACCAGACAAGGTCCTAAATTAAGCCCATGGTGCCAGGAGTACTGGAACATTATTTCCCTTGGCATTTATATGTTAAAAAGGATTGAGTTCAGCATTTAGAGACATTATCTGTATTTATCTGGCCCTTGGAAAGACATATTTATATTCCTGAGGGTAAGGATAAGAACACAAGACCCTATCCATCCCATCTTAATGGAATTTTTTTTTCTCTCCTTGCGAGAAATAAGGAGGTTGCCTGTCTCCTATACAGATAGTTGGAGAAAATCTACTGTTCTCTGTTTATGAGGTTTATGAGATATCAGGTGCTACCTGTATGAAAAAAGGTTGTTGCCTTTTATCATTGTGAGACTAAAGTGTGAGGACCTATGTGGTGACATGTGGCTGTTGATCTGGATGTGAGCATCAGTTAAGTACTCTTTTCTTCTGACCCAATTCCTTAATTCAAGTGGGATAACATCTCAGACCCTTCATAATTCTTTGCAAAACAGTAGTACTACTTAAAAATTTCATATTTAATTAAACCAAAATATTAATTTTTATGTAAAATGAAAACTATTTTAGTGAATTGACTAATTTTTTCCTGAATGCACACAATGTTATTCACTCCCTCATTCAACAAGTATTGTTGAATATAAGCCATCATCCATAGCAAAAAAATTGTAAGAACACAAAATTGACATATGGGAAAAGTTTAACCATTAATATAGCTGATAACAAAATGTTTTCCTGTTGATTCTCACTTTGAAAAAAAATACTGATTCTTCATTTATAATTTGAAATAAGAGGAATAGAGAAAAACTATTACTATAATATAAATGATTATAATGATTGTTCTGCTGGACAAAATACCATTATTACAAACAATATTACAATGACTTAGGATAGGACTAACACAAATCAGGAAGTAGAGACTCAGATGATTCTAAAATACTAACTTCACAGTAGAAAGTCAGTTGGAAAGAGTTACATACCCAGAATTTTTCTTTCTGTCCTTGTGCTCCTTTTAGTGTGCCCCATCTACAAATAATAAAATAATACTGGCATGGTTAAAAATGTTTGATTTGCACCTTGATAAAATATAAATTATTGTCAGAATTTTATCTTTTTTGTTGTTGTTATGGCCCAGTCTTGGCTTACTATGGAGTTGTCATCATGGCCCTCCAAAAATGTGCCTGTGCAGTTTGCTTTTTGACCATAATGTTATTTACTTGCTCAGAATATACTTATTTATGTCCAAATGGCTTAAAATCAAATTTGTTTATCAAAGAAGATAAATTCTAGGGCAACTGAGGTATGGAGGTTTTAAAGTATTTAACGATGCCTCCCCTCTTTACATCTAGCCCTCTGAAACTCTACCCTATATGGTGTAAGCTAAAAATCTCCAAGACTACTGATAACAATAATATAAATACAGATAACAATCATAGATAAAATAATTTATGAGAAATATGTATTTGTATATATTATCTCAAAACTTGGTATGTGTCTAATGTGAGATTTTTGTTTACACATGTATGTATGTATGTAAACCAAATCTTTTACTCCTACAACTGGTTCATTTTCAATATAGCATATAACAAACCATAAAGAATCCAAACTTACAATATCTCATGTTTTCTTTTGACTAAACCCAGTAAGGGAGATGTTAATAACATGTTCTGTTTACTAATAAAATAACAAGCCTTGTCTAAGAACATAGAGTGGGAGATGTTGAGCCCAGACTCCAAATCCTATGTACTTCTTCATCTTATAAATATCCAGTCTCAAACTGCAGTGTGTCCTGAACAGCAACAGAGCAACAGTTTTATGTAGAGAAAGCATAAGGACTACCATTTTCACATGCTGTGGTGGATTGTGAGAAAACAATTCTGCCCACATATCACCCCACTAATCCCAATATCCTTCAGTATAACAAACATTCTTTGGGGGGAAAAAAACATTATTGGAAGATATACAAATTCATTCAAATATTTTCAACATTTCCATTTGCTTGAAAGCTGTTCTTAGAAGGATATAGAATAAAATGATGGCACCACAGCACAGAGATATTGCCTAAAGAAGGCAGGTTTACGGTAGAGATCTTGGGGGCATTCAAGAAAATATATTAATCCATATAGATCCTTTGGCACAAAGGGGAGGGAAGAAAAAATGATGTGGAAGATGAGATAACCCTGAAAAAGCAACATTTTTTTCTCTTTTTCCTGGTAGAGGCTAGGAGTGGTGATTGCAATGCTTCCCATCTCTCTCTTGGTTTTCTGCTACACACAGGAATAATAGACTAGAAAACTTTAAGATTTCAAATATTCTGGGCAGCTTAATGTGTAAGTTCAAGCAAGTTTAATTTTGAAAACCATTCTGTAGTTTTATAATTATATTTATATCCTTGTACTTTTCTATAAAATACTATTATCACCATTGACAAAAATTACTGCTTACAATAAGGGCCCCCAAATCTTCAAAGTCATTATGTACTTCAAGTAGTATGTCATATTTGAAACCTTGAGTTGCTCATTTTCTACTCATTTATCATGACTCTTATAACAAGCTCAAAAAGCCTTTACCTCAATCAAATTTCCTTTCAGGTGGTCCAGCTACTAGTTACTTTAGCTATTTATATAAAATACGAGAGCAATCAGAAGTATCTAAGGAAATATTCAACTTAAAACAGGCAGGAAAGGAATCCTTTATCTGAGATTCCACCAAATACTTGAGAAGTTCAGGGTAATTTTACTTGAGGCGCTAATGAGCCTCTTAAGAAAGAATGCCTAATCAAAAAACAGTATCCAGACAGGACAAGCTTGATCCAGCACCTAAGCTGAGGTCAAAAGACAGGAGGAGCAACTGAGAGGATAGTTCTCTGTCACTCACATCTATCCACATTGGACTTAGCTAAGTTTAGACCTTCGGAAAAGGCCAGACTTGTAATATAAACCTCACAGAGCTACTTCTCTAAAAACTATATATTGTATAAGACCCACTAATGATACTCAAATAGAGAGTAATACCAAGTTTCTTCCCCTTTTGTAAGATCTCTCTAACTTCTTGGGTTCCAGCTCACCAAGGAAGGTGCATGGGAAGATGAAGGAGAATTGAACAGAGGGAACAGAAAAGACAAACAAGGAAAATAAACCAGGAGTTGAGTATTGCATTTACTGTTAAGTCCTTTTCAGATACCCCTATGCACTCTCAGAAATACTGAGACACTGTTTGGGGGCATGAAGATCCATAATCGCATACAAGGTCCAGATTTAGCAAAACAATGACTATACATAATTCTATTACCAACAGATCAGAGACTAAATTTAAGGAAACAGAACATTTTCTCACAAAGGAGAAAGGACTTCAGAATGTAGTCATTTGTCTTATTCTTGTATTAGCAAATAAATTAAAAGTAAAATAAATGAATTTGAAGACCATCTAAGAAATACAAACTATCATTTTTACTATTGTAAAAGTTTTTCATATGCTTCATACATTTTGATAGGATTATCTAAATAATATTTTCAATTGTACAATAGACAGCAATAATACTTATTTTGTAAATCTATCAACTTTTTAGAGTTGCTCTAAGTTTCAGGAAACAGCACTGTTCATTGTAACTTTAAGATGCCTTTATGAAAGCACATATCTAACCTAGAGAGAATGGCAGCATTCAGATTATTATAAATATTCTCAAAGTGGACAGAAAAACAAAACAAGTCTTCAAATAGAGGTGAGAGAGGAAAAAGAAAATAAGTCCACTGAGGTTGACAGTTTCAAAGACTTGCATGTTTGTGAAAGAAAATTATAAACAAAGAATACTAACCTTGACACAAAATTCAGATAAAAAGAAGATATCACACTTCACCAAGGAAACTATTGTTCAGTTCCCTATGTTATAGCCTCTATGTCAGATGACAGTCAAGGTCCATTCATCACAGGATCTAATGTTGGCACTGCAAATTTCCTTTATCTTTTTTCACCTGTATCATTTTTAGACAGTTTCTATGATGGTAATCAGCCCATGGAGTCACAGTGGGGTATTGCAGAGAAATAAACCTGTGGGTTGTTTTCTCAATATCCCATGCTTTCTGAGAGACTGGAAAAAAAATCACTTTACCCTAGGTGATTTTCCACTGGTATCATAGTAAACTCATGTAATTAAAACCTTTATCCAAGCAAAAACAAAGTTTAACTGGTACAAAACAAGAAGACTACTTACATTGCTCACTTATGGGAAAGAGTTCCTCTTTATCTATGAAAGGCATATATATATATATATATTTATATTTATATTTATATTTATACATATATACATATTCCTAAAGTACTAGATCTTGCCTTTTTACCAGTAGGCTGAAAATTTTAGAACCAGGTATGTATTTTCACAGATATCCTCTTGTAAATCAATGGCTGTCCTTGGGGACATAAGGATCTTCATTACATTCATATATACTCTAAACATAACTATTTACACTTTTTTTTCACTCACTTATACATCTTCATTTTAAGGACTATTTGTAAACATTTCTTTAGCTAGACCAGAACCATAACCGTATTCTGCTGAGATTGTTTCCTTAACCCTGCTAATTTGAAACAAATAATACAACAGGATCACAAGTTTGAAAGATCTAGATAGTGGCTTTTCTTGCTTTAAGAAATTCTACTTCATATGGACTTTATATTGTTCTTTTGAATTTTTTTCTGCCTCATTAAGTTAAATTGTTTCAATTTTTAAGATATATTAATACTTATTTTATCTCAAAATTTCATGACACCTGAGAAAATGCTGGTATTGGAAATATCTGGGCAGATCTCACCACATTCCCTGAGGAGGCCTGAGAACTGAGGGCTCCCTATGCTGAGTCTATGTTCACATCTCTCACTTCAAGCATGTGATCCTTTAAGCTCTTCCTTCTGGACTGGTCTCATATGCTCTCTTTTAGGTAGTTCTGGAAATACTACTCTTTTGCATAACATCAGTAGTCTTTGTGGAGAGACCATCAATTCTGTAGGGTAAAGCATCAAAACCCATTCAAGGATGATACAACATTTTGTATTGCTAAAGTTATGAATATCTTGATGGATGTCCTCTGTAAAAAGGATGCTGTTCTTTTCAGATAACTGTGCTAATCAATACAAGAATTATAAAAAACATATTTTAAGCTATTTCTAGATAACAAAATTATTAGAACCGAGTAACTACTTTGCACAGGATTTTAAATCGTAAGTGCTACTGTTGTTTCTCCCTTAGTTTTGGTTGATTTTGTGCTGGGGGTGCATATATTCAGTGGCGGTCATATTAGATACGGTACATAAGAGACAACTGAACATATGACTTTCTTTAGGTTATCTTTATATTCCCCTAAATATCTCTTTCAAAAAAGAAAAAAGCACAGAATTTCTGTGTAATTCATCCACTTATTTCAGCCTTTATTCAGAAAACTGTTGTTTAGTACAAAGAAGATATCTTTTGCCTTCAAGAAGCTGACAATTTAATGAGAATGATTAAAGTGTTTAAATTATTTAAGACGCATTAATACTTTTTTCTCTTAAAATTTAATGACACCTGGGAAAAAGCAGTTTTGGAAAATCTGGGCAGCCACTGCACCACATTTCCTGAGGATGCCTGAGAATGGATAGTTTGCTGTAGTGAGTGAGAAATACATCTAATGGGAGTGAAATGAAAAATAAACAAGTATAAAAATAATCAGAAGCCCCCCAAGAAATAATTTGAATCCACAATTGCTACTTTTATAAAAGCAAGTTTTAAAAATTTTTATGGGTTACAGACAAAGAAATTAACTGTCTGCAGAGGGCAAAGTTCACTCCCTTCACAGAATTAAATAGAAATTCTTATGGTACAAATGAAACTGTAGAATTTTAATTACAATAAGTAAGTGCAAAATCACAAGAGAGCTGGTGAAACTTCATCTTATTCTAAGCCTATTCTAAGACCAGTACTTGGTCCTGTGGGATTCGAGAACAGTGAAAGGAGGAGCAGGAAATCAAGTTAGAAAAGCAGATTGAGATCAGGC